CTCACAATCAGCCAAACCTGGGCCTGATTACAGAAAGGTGTATATAAGGCATGACCAGGCCTGTGCTCTGGGCCTTGGTGTATGGTTTCCCATGAGCCTCTGTACCTGTATCCTGTGTTCCTGCTTCGTTGCTGACCCGGCTTGATCCTGATCTCTGTTGACCGTCTCCTGTTCTGACTACTGGCTCATCCCTGACTATTCTTCTGCCTACTCCTATGCTGTTTGACCTCCTGTTGCTGTACCTTGGCTTGTGACCTGTTTACTCTTTGCCTGCTGCTCTGTACTGATCTGCCTCCACCGTTACCGACCCGGCTTGTCTGACCACGCTAACTATTCTGCCATCCATCCATCCTGCACGGATCCAGCCGTACCTGCACATACCTCTGGCGGATCCCTCTACCACTAGCATGTGTACTCAGGGGCCGCGACCTGGTCTCAGTCCTGCGCCAAGTCCATCCCCACCATCAGGGGCTCTGGTGAAAAGGCAGACTGGGGCTTAGACTCCGCGCCCTGGGGAATCCTGCCCTGAGGACAGCTAGAGGTACCACCAAACGGTCATTACAGAACCCTACGGCCGGCCTGACCGTTCCACCTCTCCAGCCCTGACTACGCCTGTGTTCCTGCACCTCCTAAAGATTAGTGGAAGGTTGGTTTGTTCACTGTGCGTTTATATAGATATATATCTGGGTGGCTAATAATAAACTGTATTATATTACCTGCGTTTCCCTGTGTCAGTCCACACCTTTCTGGTCACTCCTTGATTCCTGACATCACACCAAGGCCTTTCCCGACCAGAAGTGGCTGCACAGGGAAGCCATCTTGACTTGTTGTGAAGGATGTATCCTGATGAGGTTATATATTTGTCTATGCTAGTCTTTGATGACAGGGAATATGCCTATCAGACTCTGCGCGAGTATACCCGGGATCAGCTGCTAGAGTGCATACGGGTCGCTCATTCCCTAGTAGGTCAGGACCTAGAGCTCTCTGAGGTGCAACCATTGATTCAGGCTTGTGTTGAGTTGGCTTCATCTAGTACCCCTGAAAGCAGGGATGAATTTCTTCCTCCATTCAGGGCGAGTCAAATAATATCACTGGTATGGTTGTTGGAAGATGATCCGGATTGATTCTTGGAGCATTATTCAGCATGTTCACCACATGTGCTAGAGAAGTGTATAAACGCAGTGCAATCTTTGACCAGACAGGCCTTGTGTAAGCTGAGCGTTGTCCAACCCTTACTGCAGACATGGTCAGACTTGTTACACCCAGCCTCAATCAGCTTGCAACGAACCAGTCCTGTTTCTCATCTGTCCTCTGCTCAAAGCTCTTTTCCTGCATTCCCAACAGCACCCCCAGTGACAGCCCCCCCAGTGACAGCCCAGTATACCCAGCAATCTACCACATGTCAGTACCCTGCTCCCACTCACTGTACCATCGTGCCAGTTGACTCGGTGCCCGCTGTCGTGCCAGTTGACTCGGTGCCCGCTGTCGTGCCAGTTGACTCGGTGCCCGCTGTCGAGCCAGATGACTTGGTGCCAGTTGACTTGGTGCCCGCCGTCGTGCCAGTTGACTTGGTGCCTGCCGTCGTGCCAGTTGACTTGGTGCCTGCCGTCGTACCAGTTGACTCGGTGCCCGCTGTCGAGCCAGATGACTCTATGCCTGATGATTCGGTGCCCGCTGTCGTGCCAGTTGACTCGGTGCCTGCTGTCGTACCAGTTGACTCGGTGCCAGTTGACTCGGTGCCCGCTGTCGTACCAGTTGACTCGGTGCCAGTTGACTCGGTGCCCGCTGTTGAGCCGGATGACTTGATGCCTGATGACTCGGTGCCCGCTGTCATGCCAGTTGACTCGGTGCCCGCTGTCGAGCCAGATGACCTGATGCCTGAGGACCCAGTGCCCGCTGTTGAGCCACATAACCTGATGACTTGGTGCCCGCTGTCGTGCCAGTTGATTCAGTGCCCACTGTTGTGCCAGTTAATTTGGTGCCTGCTGTCGAGCTTGGTGACCCGGTACCCGCGGTTCTGCTAGATGGCTTGGTGCCCGCTGACGTGCCTCTGCCCGCTGCACAGCCCGACATGCCAGCCCCTGATGTCCAGTTCCAGTTAAACTGGCCCATAACTGATACCCAGCCTGCTCCTGGAAATCCTGTGCCCAGTGACCTGCCTTCCTGGGTTCTCCTACACAAAGAGAAGTCTACCAGCAGGAAACCCAGCCAGCCGGTTTACTCCGGCAGTAGGATATTCAGCCAGTTACCTGACCCGGGCGGTGGAACATTTTGCCCACTAAGGACTGTTTGGAGCGTCCTGAGGCCGCTCCTTGAAGGGGGGGTTCTGTCAGGAATGGACTCAGCACTGGTGGTGGGACTCGCCTGCCGTGTGGGCTGCAGTACCAGAGCTGACCAGCGGGTGCTCTCAGCACTGGTGGTGGAACTCACCTGCCGTGTGGGCTGCAGTACCAGAGCTGACCAGCGGGTGCTCTTAGCAGCCAGAAGCTCACAATCAGCCAAACCTGGGGCTGATTGTAGAAAGGTGTATATAAGGCATGACCAGGCCTGTGCTCTGGGCCTTGGTGTATGGTTTCCCATGAGCCTCTGTACCTGTATCCTGTGTTCCTGCTTCGTTGCTGACCCGGCTTGATCCTGATCTCTGTTGACCGTCTCCTGTTCTGACTACTGGCTCATCCCTGACTATTCTTCTGCCTACTCCTATGCTGTTTGACCTCCTGTTGCTGTACCTTGGCTTGTGACCCGTTTACTCTTTGCCTGCTGCTCTGTACTGATCTGCCTCCACCGTTACCGACCCGGCTTGTCTGACCACGCTAACTACTCTGCCATCCATCCATCCTGCACGGATCCAGCCGTACCTGCACATACCTCTGGCGGATCCCTCTACCACTAGCAGGTGTACTCAGGGGCCGAGACCTGGCTTCAGTCCTGCGCCAAGTCCATCCCCACCATCAGGGGCTCTGGTGAAAAGGCAGACTGGGGCTTAGACTCCGCGCCCTGGGGAATCCTGCCCTGAGGACCGCTAGAGGTACCACCAAACGGTCATTACAGAACCCTACGGCCGGCCTGACCGTTCCACCTCTCCAGCCCTGACTACGCCTGTGTTCCTGCACCTCCTAAAGATTAGTGGAAGGTTGGTTTGTTCACTGTGCGTTTATATAGATATATATCTGGGTGGCTAATAATAAACTGTATTATATTACCTGCGTTTCCCTGTGTCAGTCCACACCTTTCTGGTCACTCCTTGATTCCTGACACCTGAACACAGACAGAAGCGTTCAAGGGCTGCTCACTTGAACCTGCAAACCTGTTACATAAGGATGAGCTGAAATGTGAGTTTTGAATGCAAGAAGAGTTGAAATTGAAACGCTACACCACCCATAAGAGGTCCAGATACAACTTTATTCCATTAAAGGTCAGTTGTATAATGCGAGGAGTAGCCAATGTGTTCATATTGTGGGTTCATATTTATCAAACAATAGTTTAAGCACAGAATTTACTGGTTATTTTAATAATTTAAATATCACTTTTTCTTGGATTGAACGTGTAGAATGATATTATCAGAATCATCTACACCATCAAAATTCAGCCATACTGTAGAACAGCCAAATCACTCAGGTGTACTGTATCTTTAAAAGCTCTACAGTTTTGCTATAGGCTGGTTATCTTGTAATGTGTCCTACAACTGTCATGGTCTCTGACCACTTGCTGCTCTCTTCTCAAGGTCTTCTCTTGTACTCTCCCTTACAGAAAGGTCATTACCACAGCAGGGAATCTGTTATTTAGCAATGGAATTGTGACATGCACATTGGAAGGCATCAGGTCATCATCACAGATACTGGATTTACATCACTGGATGCCATTATTGACATAAATGTGAAAAAAAGAGGTGCAGCGCTATATAACTAGACACAATAATAAATAAACCGCTAGTGATACACAATAGTGATAGACAGTGACTGAAATTAATAACGCCACTAGATGGTGGCCATAGAGTGAGGAGAGTGAAACAGTCCAATGAAGGAGTGCTCTTGAGATCCGGGACGATCTTCAAACTAGGCTCCTCCCCAATGTCCTATATAAAGGACCAACAGGTGATAAAATATGAAGACTGCGCACTCACCAGATACGCAATCTTTATGCGCATTTGTGTAAAATATCACTGGACCTCCTGTATCCTCATCCTGGTCTGGTCAGATCTGGTCAACATATCCCTCAAGGCCTGGTATCCACATAGATGTAGCTTGTCCGTAGATTTGGCCGGCTTTCACCACTGCAACACACATGGGACATACATTAGCCTGCATTATTGACATGTTGATACTTCTGGGGACATTAATACATTTTATTTTGAAAGCAGGTAAGTATTGTATGCGTTTTGTTTCAATTAAAGGACTTTTTCATAGTGTGTGTTTATTTCCTTTTAACTTTTTGTGGAAATGGGCAATGAGTACTAATATACCGCTCTAGTCATTCCTCTGGGAAGGGGCAGATATCTAGTTGCTACCTTCCTATAAAAGGGTTGCAGATTACAACATAAGTCTCTTTCATGTTACCCTCACCTCCTTTGTGCTTCCTTTAAGGGTCTCATCAGTGCATAAAATGTCCCGATGTAATGTGCTTACATCAGCTGATTTTGTTTTATTTTACACTTTTTCCCCATCTTCACTGGGTAACTGATGTGGGGATGAGGTCCTTTTGCCTCAACAAATACCTTGCAGGATGGGATACTTTGTCCTTTTCCCCTGCAAGGCTCTCCCCAATGTTGTAAGGCATGTGGCCTGGCCTGGTACAGGAAGAGGGGAGTGCATGCTTGATGCCCTCCATTGCTTGGCCACCCAGGCTGCATTTCTGGATATAGATCTGGCATAATGTAGTCAATGTCAAAATTAACAATGGTGACTTGGTGTCTTTTATCCATTACCACCTGTCTGATATTTGGCAACATATTAACATAAAAGAGAGAGAATCATTCACAATCAGGGGTGGACTGACAACTCATGGGGCCCCCAGCCAATAGGGGATCATGGGGCCCCTGTGTCCTTGCCCACACTCAAACCACACCCAAAAATGCCTATGAAAGGTACCAGGGATATCTCATGGGGCCCCCTACTAACTCCGGGCCCTTGGGCAGAGCCCGAGTTCCCCAATGGTCAGTCCGCCCCTGTTCACAATGCAATTGCTATTAAAAGGTTATGGTAGGTAAACATAAGACACTGTGATTTATTGTAATAAGAGGCAACAGTGAATGTAATTTGGAATATTAGTGTTTTCTCCACTGGCACTGTAATATCATATCAGGGTTAAAAGAGAATAGATGTTTGCAAATCTCGCTGTCATCACCTGTGTATTCTGTAAAAGCAACTTTGCAGGATTTGGAGTAATTGTTAGGCATCTTGGGCTGATCAAGTGTTTTCTATTCTAATATGGATCAATGCAGAACGCTGACCCCTGTTAAGGGTCTCATCAGTGCATAAAATGTCCGATGTAATGTGCTTACATCAGCTGATTTTGTTTTATTTTTACACTTTCCCCATCTTCAGTACTGTATTCAGAGCTGGTGTCTTAAGCCCTTGGTAGAACATAATCAATGACTTAATGATGAATAATACATGAGAAACAAAAATAACAGCTATTTTCCACTTGTAATGTCCTTGCAACATGCCAAGTGCACTAATTTCAATGGTTTCTGACTCCTGAGATACTTTGTAATGTCTGATTGACTTAGCATTAGAGCAAACATAGGCAGTATATGTAGAGGTTTTTCTGTGCACCCATCTGAACGCATAAAAACGTGTGATTGTGCCCAGTCTTGTGGTGTGGTATGTGAATTATGGCAACTGGCCTTTAGCTGCATGAAAATGGCAATATCTTACAATGCAAGTTAAATTGTTATACAAACCATGTTATAAAGGTTGGCTCCCATTTCTAGTAACACCTCCTATTGAACTATAGAAAAAACAGACCTTACTGGTACCAAGAAGGACATACACCATTTAAAAACAATGTAACATCGATTTATTAGTTAAGAAAATATACATATTAAAGTCTGTATCGGGGATATTTTACCCCTTCTAAACAAATGACTACAACAGAATCATGACATGCATGACACTCCTGAATATATTTCCTGAGGTCGACACCTTTCACAAAGATAGCTTCTTTAGGACCTCTTTTCTTGAAAGGAGTGAGCAATTTACTTAGAAAGATATCACTTTTACAGTCTCAACCATAATTAAAGTGTTACTAAACCCAGTACCCTGCATTCACTACATCTGGTCTTCCAGAGTAAACGCAATATAGAGATGCAATTATTTTAGTAAATATAAACTGCTAAATACCTTTTTCTCGTCAGCAGTTAGAGCAGTCTTATGACTTCTATCATTGTTCAACAGAGAACTGGTTAAAGTATGTAGGAGGAGTTTTCGTTCTGCTCTAGGAGGATGCAGAACCCCTGACCTCTGTCTGGACAGTGCTGATTGGCCCTGTGCTAATCACATGCACTCTAACAAGAAAAAAAAAACCTCTCTAGCAATACACACCAAACTGAGCATGTGCAGAGTGACTCCACACGATATGTCAATATATCAAGCATGCTTTACTGCATATACAGACTGAATTTACTGTTGTGGGTTAATAACACTTGAACACAAATGTAAAATGTAAAGTGTTACAAAACCCACAACAGTGAAATCCATCTGTATACACAATAAAGCATGCTTGTTATACTCACTGTGGAACCTAAGGGCTTAATCCTCCACGCTGTGTAAAAAAGATGTTTTATCCTGTCTCCTCTGATCCTCCCCTTCTTCCAGTGCCCCCTTCTTATCTCCTGAAAAACATAGTGTGTGGAGTCACTCTGCACATGCTCAGTTTGGTGTGTATTGCTACACAGTATTTTTTTTTTCTTGGGAGAGTGCATATGATCAGCACATTTAGGAGAGATATTCATTTTTCCTACAGGTGAGCTTTATTATAAGCTTACCTATAGGTGAAATTTTAAAAAATGAGTTTACTACCACTTTAACTTGCAGGGGCAAGTTTTTTCTAGATTTTTGTTTTGTTTTTGTTTTTTGCAGTTTACTACCACTTTAAACACAGTTTAGTGAAGTTATAAACAAGTTTAGTTACTGTCTGAACACATATTCCTGTCTCAGTAAATGTTGTTACTGCATGAGCTGGATGCATTTGGAGTGGCCGTAATTACATGTCACATAAATTGTCTGTAATGCCATCTGTTGGATTACTAGTTTATGCATGTTACATACATTTAATAATAAAACATAGTACTAGTGAGCAGCAGCTGGTTTAGAAGACACCCATGGTCATGTCTATGCAAACTCTAACAGTAGATTCAGGGGTGGACTGACCATTTGGGAACTCGGGCACTGTCCGAGGGCCCGGGGTCACAAGGGGGCCCCATGAGATGCCTCTGGTACCTTTTTCATAGGTTTTTTTGGGTGTGGGAAAGGACACAAGGGCCCCATGGTCCCCTATTGCCCGGGGGCCCCATGAGTTGTCAGACCACCTGAGTAGATTGCTTTTGGGTAGTAAATAGATCATCAAAGAATCAGAACTTAGAAATAAAATGGTTTTGTAAATGAAAGTGCACAGGCACCACCTGCTGAAGAGTCCCAAGTACTGCACTCTACATTCACTTCAAATGAAATTCCACTTTATGGTAGGTTCAAACAGAAAAAGCAGTATCTGTGTGCAGAACAACATGTAGAATGAAAATGTTCATTTAAAAAAAATGCATCCTAGATCTAAGGTTTATTTCCACAGCTGTACAGCCACTACGGACATTTTATTCATTTACACGTCTCCTCAGCTCGCTGCTCTCTAATTGGCTCAGTCTTGTATAGCCCGCCCTCCCACATGGTACCGCCTATTATCCCCGTCCGCAGCTCACATGGTACAGTCCAAGACGCGTAGTATTGGCGTTTGCTCGTTTCCTCTTCCTTTTAGCTGGGATCGGTCGCGGAGCTGCACGTGGTTTTGTTCTCGGAGACTCCTGGTCGGATAATGGCGGTCGGCTCCCGGTACCGGTGTTCCCGGCCTGTGAGGGCCCCTGCCCGGTGAATTCCTGTGTTACCTCCCGGCGCAAGTGAGTCTGTGTGCGGGCTTCCGACCTGTTACGTGGTGTTCAGCCTGGGAGCCCTCACCCTGAGCTCGGTATGCTCCATGTGCAGTGTACGTGGGGTGCCGCAGGGGTGCATGCAGTAAGAGGGCTCTTCCTCTCTCATCGGCCCATAGACAGGACCTCTGGGTTGGGAATGGTTATTGGAGACGGTTACAAATATTTGCAGGGTCTCTGAATTGATTTTGATTTGTAATTCTCGCTGGTTCTCTTAGGTGACCTCACTCCGGAGCAGGGGCGGACTGGCAACTCGTGGGGCCCCCGGGCAATAGGGGATCATGGGGCCCCTGTGTCCTTGCCCAAACTCAAAAAAGCCTATGAAAAAGGTACCAGGGGCATCTCATGGGGCCCCCTACTGACCCAGGCCCTCGGGCAGTGCCCGAGTTTCCAAATGGTCAGTCCGCCCCTGCTCCGGAGTGTTCTGTGAAACAAGCATTGGATGTGCCGTGCCAGGAATTGATACCGGCGCCTCAGAACGTGGCTCAGAGACAAGGGGTCTTGTGCACCAAAACCCACGAGAAGGTGCCGGGGGCTTCGTCCTGCGTCTGTCACATGTAGGGCAGCCCATTCACGTGAAAGCACTGCGTCGTGTAATAAACACCAGGAAAGTGCGAGTGAGGTCTTAGGCTACATTCTCACCTGTGTGATTGGCAGCGCGTCTTCAGTAACACACCGATGCAGGGGCGGACTGACCATTTGGAAACTCGGGCACTGCCCGATGGCCCGGGGTCAGTAGGGGGCCCCATGAGATGCCCCTGATACCTTTTTTCATAGGCTTTTTTGAGTTTGGGCAAGGACACAGGGGCCCCATGATCCCCTATTGCCCGGGGGCCCCATGAGTTGTCAGTCCGCCCCTGCACCGATGTCTAACATGATTTCCTATGGGTCACGTTCACATGTGCGCCTTCCACCTGTGCTCAGGGACTCTTGCCCTCAGCATGGTCTTCTTGGTTCAATATTATTATTATACAGGATTTATACAGCGCCAACAGTTTGCTCAGCACTTTACAATATAATGGGAGACAATACAATTCGATACGATTCAAGAGGGCCCTGCTCCTTGGAGCTTACAATCTAACACTTCAAACCGAAATGCATGTAGGTGCATTTTCCTAAATGACAATAGATGCCTCCTGGCAGTGTTAACACATCCCAAAAAATGCTTGTGAAAAAACAGCTGCAAAGGTATGACTGTGTGCCCCCTCTGATCCAGCGATGTTCTCGACAGCCTCTGCTGTCTGGGGACTCTTTCTTCTCATTGGCTGAGAAAGCAGCAGGAGCCCATTAGCTCCTGCTGCTCTCAATCACAGCCAATGAGCATGGGGGGAGCAGGGCCAAGCCATGGCTCTGTCTTATGGACGCATAGAGTAGCAGCTTGGGGGCAAGCACACAGTGTCGCATCCAGGGTGAGCGGCTTTCTCTAGTGGGCACCACCGAAGGGGGAGGAGCCAGGAGTTCCGGTGAGGACCCAAAGAGGAGGTTCGGTGTTGCTCTGTGCAAAATCACTGCACAGAGCAAGTAGGTGTAGACATGTTTAAAAAAAAAAAAAAAAAGCTTTAGTGTCACTTTAACCTCTTGCCCTCCCCAGGATTTACCCCTCTTGCTTACCAGGCCATTTTTGCGATACAGTGCTGCGTTATCTTAACTGACAATTTCGCGGGCATGCAACACTGCACCCAAATTAAATTTACATACTTTTTTGTTCCCCCCACTAATAGAGCTTTCTTTCGGTGGTATTTGATCATCTGTGTGTGTTTTAATTTTTTGCACTATAAACAGACAATTTGGGGGGAAAAAAACCCTATTTTTGACTTTGCGTTAAAACATCAGTAAAAGAATTTAAAATATTGAAATTCGGTATAAATTTAGGCCAAAATGTATTCTGCTAAATGTCTTTATTAAAAAAAAAATCCCAATACGTGTAAATGATTTGGTTTATGTGAAAATGATAGCGTTTACAAACGGTAATGTATATATACTGGAATTTTATTTATTCTACTAGTAATGGCGGCGATCAGCGACGATTCATAGCGGGACTGCGGCAGGCATTCTGACACTGGGGGGGGGGTGGCGGTGGCGACAGACTGCCACTGACATCCTCAATGACACTAATAGTGATCAGTGCTAAAAAAGGGGGGGGGGGGTTATCATCTGGGGCGATCAAAGGGTTAGCTGTGTGCCACTTTAGTGTATGCGGTTTTGTTTTACTAGGGGAACATACTGCTTTGTATTGCTCTGCAGTGCAGAGCAGTGTAAAGCAGCATGTCTGTGCTGACGGTAGAGATCTTTGGTTTTTACACACAGACCTCTCTCCTTTTACTGTTCTTCTGCGGGTGTCGACGGGGAATCTCTGGCCGGACCCGGTGATCAACAGCTGTAGCCGCCAATGGCGGCACGCGCACACACCCCACAGGTGATTTTGCACAGCCCTGCAGCAGTAGTTCTGCTATAGGGCGGAGGGGAATGGGTTTTCTCCTGCCAGGAGGCACAGGAGCAGAGCAAACTCCCAATGTGCATGAGACCTAAAGCATCTGCACAATCTTCATCAACTATATAGCACAAGGACCAGCCTGCCTTGATACAAACAATGGATGCCCGCCATCAGAATGCACTGGTCATGTGGGGAAAATGACGGGGTGGTTGTGCAGAAGTCAGTTCGAAGACTACTTCATTACAGACTTCTGTACAGTCATAGTGCCCATACGTGGATCAAAATTTGGCCAGTTCAGCAGGGACCAGTCAAATTTTGATCCATGTATGGTCAGCTTTATTCCTTGCACGCGCTATGATGAGTTAACCACTTGCCTACGGGGCACTTATACCCCCTTCCTGACCAGGCCAATTTCCAGCTTTCAGCGCTGTTGCACTTTGACAATTGCGTGGTCATGCAACACTGTACCCATATGAAATTTTTATCATTTTTTGGTGACGGAGCTTTATTTTGGTGGTATTTAATCACCTCTGGGTTTTTTATTTTTCCTTAAACCAAAAACCACTGAAAATTTTGAAAAGTTTTTTCTTCGTTTTTGTTACAAAATTTTGTAAGTGATTTTTCTCCTTCACTGATGTGCGTTAATGAGGCGGCACTGATGGACACTGACAGGCATCCCTGAAAGGCAGCACTCATATATGGCACTGTTAGGTGGCACTGATGGGTAACACTGAAAGGTGGCTCAGATGGGCACTGATATGTGGCACTGATGGGCACTGGCAGGTGGCATGGATGAGCACTGAGCTGGCACTGGTGCACACTGTCAGGTTGCACTGCTAGGGCTATACAGATCATTAGGGCACACTGATGATCAGTGTACATGTCCCATCCTAGGAATGCCGATTACAGGCTCTCCTCTCCTCACGAGCTGTCAGAACGACAGCTTGTAGGAAGAGAAATGCCAATAATCGGCATTTATGTTTACATGTGATCGGCTGTGTCCGAGGGGCGCACCGCCGATCGCCGCGCATGCGCGGTTAGAATGGGAGGATGTCATATGATGTCCTCCCAGAACGAGAGAACCGCCTTGCGTCCGTCATTTTACTATATGGCGGGTGGGAGGCGGTTAACCTCCCTAGCGGTATTCCCGAGTGTAGCTCGGGGTAGAGTTTCAGTACCAAAAGCAGTAACCCTGAGCTACACTCGGGCTTACCATGCAGCGTTGCTCAGGGATTCACTGCAGCACTTACCTTGTCCTTCGCTCCCGCGATGCGTCCTCTTCAGCGTCCCCGGCCATCTCCTCCGGCCGATGCCGGCATCCGGTCCCTGTGACGTCGGGACGTACGGGCGCTGGAACTGGCGGCAAATTTGAAAATTTTAAAAACTGACTTTTTTTTTTTTTTTAAACGATTATTACATAGTAAAACATTGCTGTTTCAAAACATTTCACATACATTTTGTCCCTACTGCTTTGTCCTGTCCCCTGCCTGCATTTTGACTGTTCTTTCTGCCTGGAAACTTAGAAAAGTCCGTGGCGTCCAAAAAGCGTCCCTTTAGGTCAAAATTGGTTTTAGACCAGCTAGAAAACAGCGATAGTAAATTAGAACCACTGATGATCAGTTATGATTCGTGGGAAAATTTATCAGACACTGAAAACGATTCTGCGACTTTGCTCAGCGATGTGCGAACTTGGCGTTATAATAAATTTAATTCAATAATAATCAAACCGAAAACACTGAAATTTGAAATATATTTTTTTATGAGTATTAAATTAGAATTTATGATTTCTTGTTTCAAGTTTTATCATATTCAGAATGTTTACTAGACTCTTGTTCGGACAGATTTCAGTGAGTTATTCCTAAATTGCAGGCCTACAATAAAAAAACTACATATTTGCATGCAAAAAAAAATGGTACCACTTTCAGCACCAAAAATCTGAAATAATCGTACCGCTAGGGAGGTTAAAGTGCAACTTCAGTCAAAGTATGTTTCTGGTCTCCCCTCTCCCTTTATCACCTTTCAGTGCCTTAGGAACCATGCTAGGGTGTTCCCATTCAGTTACATCCAAGGCCATGCTCCTGATTGTATGAATGCTGCTTTTGTTCCAGACCAGAAATCTGATTTTTATGCTTTATTTTTTTAGGATGACGATAGAAGATATGGTTCTGTGGATGAGGCCGATGTGGAAAATGTGTGCATGTAAGTTTATGGTAAAGCTAAATAGAACTTGAGACAACACTGTACCTGGCATATGCTGTCTTCTCATACTGCAGGTCCAGCATCACCAGAGACCACATAAATTACCAGTGCAATTACAGACTGATAGTTGAAGGAAAGGCAGGGGGGGGGGATGGGGTACAGGGAATATGTACCTATGCTCAGGCAGCTCAAGTGTTTTCAGACAAAATGGAGTCATATTTTGTGAAGTCACTGGTTCTTATTATACATAATGGCACAGCGTAGACTATATAGCAATATATGTGCTGTACATGCACATCATTACATTGTAAGGAGGTTACAATCTAAGGTCACTATCTCGCATGCTTACATACCCACACATAGTAGGGCCAATTAACTTACCTGCATGTTTTTAAGTAGTGGTGCACCAAAAATAAAAATTCAGGTGCTGAAACTGAAAATTCAGGATGTACTTGGCTGAAAACCGAAATGTCTGTATTTGGGGAGGTTCAAATAATTTTTTTTATTTATTTATTTTTTTTGTACTTTGTTTAATTTATTGCATTTAAAAACCAGCCATGACATTTAGCAGCGGCAAGTGAGGGATTCTGTCCGTATGCACTGTTACCTCACTGTATACACTGCTTACCGCCTCTCCTGCCTTTCTTCGTCCTTCCCAACCCCCATCCCCTCCCCTGTCTGCAGTACACCAGGGCAAATAGTCTGCCCCTCATTGGGGTTGGGTCCCTTTATCGGCACCTGTATCGGCTGGTTTTTTTTTTTTTTTTTTCCTATCTCCAAAATGCCTATAGGGCTATTTTCGTACAATATTTTTCAGCTGCTGAAATTTCGGTGCATCCCTAATTTTGAAGTGTGGAAGAAATCCAAACATAAACACATGGAGAAAATGTACATAGTGTCTTGAATAGAACTTAAAGTGGTGTTTCCAGTCCTGCAAGTCAGTAGTGCTAACCACTAAGCCACAGTAATGTTTTGTGACATTTGTGTACCATATGTTTTACAGAAATGTTTGGTTCTTTTGCCTTTGTGTTGCACATTTACTTTGAAAGTAGTAAATGAGGTGTCAGAAAAGGCAAAACATAAAACCCACCATAGCCTGCTACACCTTGTGATATCTCAGCACTCGGTTGTTTGGCTCTGCTGGAATAACTTTTTAAGGCATGAACAGCACAGTGTTGTAAATGCATCTGTCCCAAGTTTGTCACACTACACAAAAGTAAATTCTAAAATCTGCCTTGCTATGGCTTGATGTAACAAGTGTTTTTTGATTTGTTTTTTTTTTTTTTTTTTGGTGTGCAGTGTGACTAATTTTAGAGTCTGCTTCACTCCTTTCCTTGTAGAAAGGTCTTTCCAGACATGTTGCGAGTCTCACATTGCTTAGACACGCTGCTTTCCCTGCAGTTTGAGGTT